CCTACACAGGCACCTGTTAGGTATGCCAACTCCACATGTGTGTGTTACTCAGCTTGTGTCTGATCCCATCAATATTTTAAATAATATATACCAGGGAAGAAAATCTGGATGAACAAACAGCACCCAACAGTCTCACACAGTTTTGCGTTCCACAAGACGAGTTGTATTTTCTATGTAAACACTTCAGAACTATCACATGGATGAGAAAAGCAAGGTGACTACTGGGATAAAGCTCCTTATGTAGGATGAGAATTCCTTTGACACATTTCTTCCTGGTGTAAAAAACTGTTATCCCCACTCTTCTAGAGTAGTCCTCCACTTCTCACTGAAGCACAAAAGTTGGAAAATTTGTTGGAGTTCCTTAAGAGGCATCGTGGCTGCTTACCACCAAATATCACACAGGTAATGCAGTCATGTCATTTCTTACCAGTGTTCCTCACAGATCTCACGGTAAGAGCAGCCACCATCTTCAGCATCACAGCATTTAATTCCTTCTCAGTGCCTTCTTCCAGACCATGCAGACGGGTTCCAGCTGTCGGTATATCAAAAGTATATCAAAAGTCATAATACAATTTATACAAGACCCGGTTAACTGTACCTAGAATATATTAAACCAAGAAAGAAAACCAGTTCTTCAGCAAATTCTGGTTTTCTCTTTAATATTACTTACAGGCTACTTGAACGCTAATATCAGCAAGTAAATACAGACAAGACATTCTCTAGTCATCAGGGTCTAGTCTGGGATTGGAAAACACAGGTCTGATTCTATGTTCTGCAGCCCAGATCTCCCACATAACTATAAGCAATACTGGTAACAGAAGTGTTTCCACTTCCTCTTTATTCCTGTGCCTAAATTTACAAATTACATAGCCATTCAATCACTCGTTCTATAAAATTTAGATCACCAAGAGATCTAAAGCAGTGAAATTAATGCAAAGACAGAATAAAGCCCATATGTACCAGCTCATAAGCAGAAGGTAAGTTTTAAAGAACCTTGAAAATCCTTTTCTAAGTACTCTTGTACAAAACTAGTTCCCTGACATCAAGAATATAAATCTAAGTGTCCTTGCAGGTAATGGATGTCTGCATTCCAGATCTTGCAATCATATTACTTATGTTGCTTGGAATAAATGTGTATAAATAATTCAATTGTGCTTGCTGCATCAGAAGTTATACCTGGTATTTTGGGTCCCTCCTACTTTATTAAACAACTATTTCATTGAAATTTAAAGGAATTTCCCAATTCATATAGCACAGGAAATGTGTTAATGCATTTTTCTTTTTTTAAAGTAGCAGTTATAAACTTTCAAATATGTGAGTCTGTCCCCTAAGTCAGCTGTACTCCATAGTTAAAATATCAGGACTATTACCTTCCTGTTTTCATAATGAGATACCTATATCAGATGACAATGGGTGGTAGTAATATATGGCCAAAATTCAAGAAACTGCTTTCAATCAGTTCTCAGCATTAAGTGTTATTTTCAGAGGAACAAATATAAAATCTATAATTTGACTATAGAAGGAGATTCATTCCTTCCTATTATCAGGCTACTTCAACAATCACTATGAATGACATTAAGTTTTACCTGACTTCCTCAGGATCTTGGCTTGCTTCCTCAAAAGTGCCAGCAGTAGGCCTAAGAGCCCAGAGTCACGGAATATATCACTGAATAACAGGTCCTTCTTGGTCATGCTGAGAAGGCACTGGAGAGCTGTTAAGCTACAGAATGGCACTATGTTTTCCTTTATCAAATACTGAACCTTCTTTAAAATTTCATGGGGGACATAGGACAGGTCTAGCACTATGGACTCTACCAGTCTGAAGAACTGGACTTGGACTGGGTGTGGTTTGAAATGGATGATGTCAATAAACTGGTTGATAGGTTGTAGCGTCCATTCCAGAAGAAAGAAGTTGACTGTGTCCCAGGCCCATATGGTACCAATTGCTGCCAAGATTCTTTCGCACAGGTACTGATCATTACTCTTCTGGAAAATGGACTGCAACACCTGAAAAGCCTGAAGGTTTTTCACCGTCATTCCTGTGGGATAAAAACAGGTGAGATCATTTTTATGTCAATGCTATTTAAGACATCAAGCACCATAACTACAATGTCAAATCATGTCTGAGAGTGGAAAAAGAAGTCACAGACACAAGGGATGTAATTTGGAGTCAGACTGTGCCTTGGATCAGGACCCTGCAACTGATACCTTCAGTTCAGTTTGATACAGGGTTAAGCACATAGATCAGAAGATGCCATCTCATACTTTTTCCACCATATCAAGACACATAATGAATAGAACTTAATTTTTCTATGACCCACCTACATAGCCACATATATATACATATATATATATATACTGTACCAGAAGACCGTGTCCACTCAAAATTAAAGTGCGGTAATTGCGGGTGTACAATATTGCCAGAAACTTTCAATTCAGTTTTTCCACAGGTTGTAAGGCAAGTCAGCATGTCCAAGATCTCGTCTAGATAGGAGTCTCCTTCATTTTGCTGTGACCCTTCACATCTAGGAACAAAATTTAGGACAGTCATATGCTCATGCCTTAGTCATGCAAATATTTTTAATATATCACCATGTACTGAGCACATAAGAGCTACCCATTTTAGTCCCTGCTCCTTCCCAGTCTAATTTGCTGTCTTACAGTCTTATTTCTGTGACTTGTTTAATCATCTTACAAACAGCAGCTCCACACCTGGGTGGCACAATCTGAATCATAACAAAAACTGAAGAAGAAAATTGAAGTGACACTGTGTCTTCTGAAAAAAAGGAAGATAAATGTTGAAATTTAGTCCAGTTACATGTACGTACCAAAAAAAAAAAAAAAAAAAAGTAATTATCTCCAAAAAAAAAAGTAATTATCTCCAAAAAATACTTGTTTTGGGAAGAAAAAAAATGTAAATTTCGTGAGAAATCAAAAATAAAAACAGGCACTTCACATTAAAAGGTAGGCATGTGGTTGGTGATGTAAGGGACTAGCTGAGATAACGGAAAAATCTCAGCCCTTAGAAAGGGAAAAACATTGTATCTCCTGAGCTTTGTGAATCAGACATGGTGATGGCATGTCTCTCTTACAAGAGGAAATAACTTGAACTGTAACCCCAGATTTGCCATAGTTTAGACTGAAGTGAGAGTCTGTCAAAGGCAGAGAGCTGCTTATCATGTCATCCTATTCTGCACTGCTGAGAGAGAGCAATTCTTAAAGACAACTGCAGCATCTAGGCATGGGTTAGTGGCAGAGCAATAGACTGATGCTGTAAGTTGTAGAAATCTCAGAAGAAAACAAAACAAGTATGTTCTGTTTTAATCTAAACAAGAGAGAAAGAAAGAGAGAAAGAGAAAGAGAGAAAAAGAGGAAGGAAGGGAGGAAAGGAGGGAGGGGCCAGGGCAAATGCCAGTATCCATTTTGGTGGGAAAGAATGTGATCAGCAAGATTCTTTTTACCTGAAAAAGACATTCCAAACATCGGAGAAGAAACCTAATTACACAAAATGTTCAGAAAATCAGCTCTTTGTCTCTCTCTTTTTGCCAGTATATGCTGACAAGGGGGACTAATCAGAAGCCCTGAGCACCTGTATGCTATTTCTGTCTCTCCAGACTGCTCACATCAGTTATAAAGGATGGGGACAGTCATAGCCCTTACTGATAAAAGATTGGGTGTTTCTGCCCTTGTATGGTCAGAATTTCATCAGAAATATACCTCTCAACACAGGTTATTGTCCTGGGTTCAGGACAATGGTATGGAATACGGGGTGGATACTGTCCTGGGTTCAGCTACAGCAGTCATTTTTCTCCTTTTTAGTAGCTGGTGCAGTGCTGTGTTTTTGACTTTCAGTCTGGGAACAACGCTGATAACATCGATGGTTTTAGTTGTTGCTAAGACATGTTTACTCTGACCAAGGACTTTCTCAGTCTCATGCTCTGCCAGGGAGGAGGGGAAGCCGGGAGGAAGCAGAGACAGGACACCTGACCCAAACTGGCCAAAGGGGTATTCCACACCACAGCACGTCATGCCCAGTATAGAAACTGGGGGGAGTTACCCGGAAGGCCCAGATTGCTGCTTGGGTCAGGCTGAGTATCAGTCAGCAGGTGGTGAGCAATTGTATCCTCTCCCTTTGTTATTCCTCTTATCATTATTGTTGGTAGCAGTAGTGGTTTGTATTATACCTTAGTTACTGGAGTGCTGTTATTTCAACCCGTGGGAGTTACATCCCTCCGATTCTCTTCCGCATCCCTCCGGGAGTGGGGGGAGGAAGAAGAGCGGGGGAGTGAGCGAGTGGCTGCGTGGTTGAGTTACCAGCTGGACTTAAACCATGACAGTTATTTATAAGGGAAAGCTATGCAATCTATGTTAACTAAAGACAACACTGCCAGAAAAAGACCAAACTTTTTCCAATTTTAAGTTAATTATTGTGTGCCATCCAAAAATCTTGAGAAATCACACTCACCTATAGATATCTTTGGATTCATGATTCAAATTTCAGTCCCCTAGATCCAAATTACAAAATAATCTCCTCCCCTCAGTCTAATGTGCTGGTCAGGGACCAAAGTTCTTGCAATTGTTGAAGAAATACAATGGAAACAGCATTAAACTGAGAAGATCTGGAAATGCTCTCTTCATATGATATAAAAGAAAACCAGAACAAAGCTCCTAAGCACTTTCTGGGGAAGTGGTATAATGTACTGTTTTGACATTGCAAACTCAGAACCTGATTAGACAATGCAAGGAGACAAGAAGAATAAAAGATTCCACTTTGTATTTTTGATTAGGATAACTAGTGGGGTTTTGTCCTGATATGTTCATATTCATCTCAGTTCTGAAGAATGTAATCTTTTCAGATATAAATTTGGGTGGGTTTGGTTGGTTTGTTTTCTGCACAGCAAGGAGATTAGGTTTCCCTCCCTGTATGACTGCATTCCTGTATCAATAGTTTACCTTAACTGTGACATATGCCTCTGACCTATGTCCTCTCTAATAGTAATTGACGAAGAACCTTTGTCTTGTGCTCAGTAAATCCCTGTGCTACTTGTAGACTAACTTCTCCTACTTTAAATTTCTGTTATGGTTTCCGTAAAAGAAGTTATGTACTGCTTCCCTTCCTAAAACAGCAGTGAAAGACCCAGTATCAGGGTCTTTATTACTGGCTTTGCATCCATGCAGGATTACCTACATGAGCCATATTTTAAAACAGACCAGTGAGTGTTCTAAAAATGAAGTTTTATCATCCTCTAGAATTCCACTAAAAACCTCTCTACTTACCTGAGTAAAATTTTTAGCAGGAGTTGGTAGCCATCGTTGTTTTCAAACTCTGTTAATAAAGCTGATGATACAGGATAGGAATCTTTCACAAAGCACAAGACAATACTAGCAGCTTCACATACATCACAAGCAGGTAGGGTATCAGCCAGTTTAAAGAGATTCTGAATAGCTATTTTAATGCAGTCCACAGCTGTGGGGAAAAAAATATAGCTGGTATTTAAGAACTGACAATAACCAACTTCAAAATTACTAAAAACAACAGAACATCAAGTTTGAAAAGTTATTTCCCAGTAATACAGCAGTCAGTTAACTCTTTTCTAGAAAGAAAAGACAAGAGGATATATGAACATCAGACTCATCTGAGGCTACATGAAGAACATTTCTGGTTATAAAGTATGCATGCATTTCTTTGCTTAATCCCCAGACATTTATTCTGTCTCAGGAGTATAAACTTCCAACACATCCACTCGCCAAAATTCATATGCAGTGAATCCAGCTGAGTACAAGGTAAGCAGAGGCTGACATATTTGTCTTGTAGTAAGTCAATCACACGTTCTATACAGAGTTCAGAAATTAATTCTTCTCTCAATGAGGCATATGTAATGGAGTATGAACATACTGCTCTGAGCAATGAAGCCTTCTTTTCTTGTCTAATCTGATGACCAGTCCCCCCAGTACAGTTTCAAAATGTCTTAACAGTTCAGTGCTTTAGGAAATATTATTCCTCAGTCTTCCAATCTCATTCAGGAAGCCAAATTTTTAACTTGAAAAATAAAAATACCTATATGCAGTTACACCATGAAAAGAAATACTGACAGTAAAATCTGGATTATAGAACTTTTTTTTTTTTTTTTTTAATTCTAAGAAATTGAGACTCATTGTCTTTGCACTGAATAACAATAAAATTTCTTACACTAGTAAAGTCTAGGTAGAAATGAGGATGTAGTTAAAGCAATCATAATGTTGTCCCAAAAGACTCCATTCCTCTGGCAGTGCCCTCAAACTTGTTTTTAGAGTATGCATGAGCGTTATGCTCACACATTGATTCATGCAACCGTAAGAAAAACATAATGCATCTTATTCTTTCCTACATTACTGTGATCAGGTGGGATTGGTTCTTGCCAGTAATTTGATTTTTTTTTTTTTAATATAGAAAAAACTTCAGTTTCCAGATGGCTATCAGTACTAAATAAAGCTCCTGCCTAGAAAGCCAAGAGCCCAAGAGCTCATGCTTTGCCGTTGACTGTGGAGATGATGTAGAGATAAAAATCTATCCCAGGAAGACTCTTCTTGAGAATTTATTCACAGTGGAGCTATCAGAAAAGCAGAAGTCAAATTACTAAAACAAACCTTGTAGGTACACAATGCTGTTTTTGGTCTGAGCCTTTGAAATCGTTCTCAGCACATGGCCTGTAGGTACTTTCCAGGAGTGGCTACACTGGTCCCAGAGGGAAGCAGTTGCTATGATTAACGACTGAAGCTTATCAGCTGCCAGAAGTTCCTCTACACCTTGTTCCTCTCTGTACATGTTAAGCATTATCTGAAAAGCAAACAAACATCAGCTATAATAAACACCTCTACAAATACCTGGGAGATGAAGAAAAATCCATTTGAGGGAGGGAAGGGGAACTGGGGGGATTATAGTTTTATTCTAATGCCATTAGAGAGGATGCAGTGAAATGAACAAATAGAACTATCACTAGGATATTCTCCATAGATTTTTTTTTTCCCACTTAAAGTAGTGGCATTTTGTTTAACAACAAAAAAATAGACATAGTGGCATCATTTCAGATTGTTTTATACTTCTCCTTATGGTTTCAGTCCAAATTTACTCCTTTTTTTGCAGTTTGAGTCAATCACCAGCTAAAAGCCTAAGTGAACAAACTCCCTCTTTGGAGTTCACCTCACCTTAACAAGCATTTCCTGAGTTTGGGTGTCATCCTCACTTGTCTCTCCATCATCACTGGTTTTCTTCAGAGGAAAAGTAAAGAAAAGGTACAGGCACTGCATCAGAGCAGCTGGAAGGCCAGATCCAATGATGTTCCACATAGTTCTCTAAGTAAGGAAAATAAAAATCACATCCTCCAGAAGCTGACCACAGTTTCCTTGAGTTTCTACACACTGAGTGTAGTCATGACAATGAAAGAGTTGAGCATTGTATCCATACAAGTGCTCTAGGGCACAAAAGTGTGGCAATCATATAGCATGGCTGTACAAATCCACTTGGCACAAGTAAACACTATGTGTTGCCATAGCTGTTCCCAGGACTTCCCACTCCATCTGAATTAAACTTTGTCAGAGGTACTTACTATGTCCTGCATAAGAAGACCTGCAGTCAATAAAGCACACAACATGCAAAATAACTAGCAGCTAAAATAGTAAGTCCAGGAGTACACATTGACCCCTTTATCATGAATTCAAAGGACACCCTGCAGTTATAGAGGCCTGGTACGTTAAAAGCATGAATTCTCCATTCCCTCCTTAACCCACCATGGAAGCAATTTAGCTATAACGTCTTCGCTTTTGTAACATATTGAATAGCTACACACACACTTCTAATTATAGCTTTTATAAATTCAAGATATGCTGTTCCTCTATAATATTTCTCAACACTTATTTTCTTCCCATCTTTACTACTGCTGTGTACAACTGACTGAGAAATCCCAGTGTGCCTGCTTGACACACAATAATGATAAAAAAAATCAGCAACAAATTAAACAGCAGAGTGAGGTTTGTGGTACGGAGGTTTGTGAGTGCTTGTGCTACAAAAAATATCAATGTCTTCCATTTGTGAAAAACACAAACCTCACCAAGAATGTCACACTGTAACTAACTATGTATAATTTTATAGAGCTCCTTATGACACAGAATATGCCCACTACAAGATGACAGTGAGATTTTACTTTCATGCATCTGAATAAAAATGAGACAAGCTGCTCAGCTCAGTGCCAGGGATAAATGCACCCTTGATGCCAGTCTGCATTCAGAATGGCTGTACGAGTAGAGTTTCTGAAATGCTCTGAAATGCTTCAAAGTGAAAGGCTATCAGGATGGAAAATCCAACCACTGCATTACTAGACAGACAGATCCTTACTAGTAATCTTTTTCATACATAAGTTGGAGTGACAAGAAATGCTGAAGAGCAGTGATATACAGTGGAAAAAAAAAAATAAATCAGGGGAACAGTAGAACAAACAGCTGCCTGATGATCAAAACAAAAGGTACCTGAACGTACAGAGGACCTACTTCCCTCTTTTAGAAAAGCCTGGACTATAAACCTCTAAGTGTGTCCTCTATCAGACTGTATACCCTGGGCTTGCTGAAACACAAAGCACTGGAGATAACACAGACATTATGAGACTTAGGTGTTCCACTCTTGGGGTGGCTACCCAGCTTCTCTGAAACAAAAAGGAAAAAACAAAACCAAGACAAAATACCACCCCCCAACTCTGTAGTTGTTTCTCTTACCAAGTCAGTCTGTGAGAGGAGATACACTGATTTCAGCAGCAAATGGCCATATTCTGCTTCCCCTTTCTGTTGTAGCAATTGCTCCAAAGCCAGACGAGCTTCCTCTGTTACCACAAAACCATTAGATTTTAATTCCTTAATGAAAGATGAAAATGCTGCATTGATCCTTTCTTAACAGATTTGACAAATTTAACAAAATTACAGTATCAGCAGTCCACTGAATAATGAATAGAAGGACATAAAAGGATTTTGATTCATCATCAGGCTCAGGTCAGTTCATGTAAACTACGTATTTCAAACTGACAAGCTTCGCTGGGAATAGCAGCTAAATTCATGAAGTGTGCCAGCTGACCAGTGCAAATAATGTACAACAGCCACCAGGAAAGCCATGTGTGGCTAGCAGTACTTTTCTCACTAAAGCAAGCTCCTCAGAATAGTGTGTAGCCTACATTTTTACTGCATAGCTGCAGTATTATACATTTAAAGTTGCAAAACTGAAGTCACCATGGCATACAAGTCCAGATCTTCACTGTATCATTCAAAACTAGGATGTTTAGGCTAGCTCAAGCCTACTAAAAGATCTGGCTCGCTACTCTTAGCATTTTCCTCTTCCCCCTCATGGTAAGCACAGAGGACAGATGAATGGCAGCACATTCCCAGAACAAGTGCATCTGGCTGATATGGTATCAGATCATTACCTGCAGGTTTACCATTGAGGATCTTCTTAATTTCTTTTGTCAGAAGCTTGGAAACCTCACTTGCTAACAGCTGAATGTTGGGAAATACAACCACTCCAGCAGACTGTTCCCAGGCCTGAAATACAAGCGTAACTGTTAAGTCTTTCTGATACAGCCTGTCTTTGGTAGATTGAGAAGTACTAATAAATAAATAAAGAAACATAAAGCTAGCATTCCCCTCCAAAACTCCCCTCCCCAGCCAGTGTAGTCCATTAAAAAGTATTTGCCAGACAGGCAGGAGCCTGACACTACAGATACAGAAGTCAACCAGAACTACCTTTTGAATTACTACCTTTTGAATCACTACCTTTTGAATCACGTAATCACTAGACAGCATTTACATTATTTTCTACATTGAATACAATCAAAACAATGTAAATGTTTCCCACAGCCGCTGTATACCTAATTATTTATATAAAAAAGCACGGTATCCCTTTCAAAATACAACATAAATGCCCTGTACCCTCAAGAGGTTACAGCTTTTTTGGTTTGGGGTTGTGTTTGGGTTTTTTTATTGTTGCTGCAGTTCATAAAGTTTCTGCCTTTCAATTCTACTGTGTTTTGAGAGGAAAGTAAGACTCAAATACAGAATCTCTTGCCATACAGAAATAGTCTTTGTTTCAAAGCAAGGAAATCATGGCAGTCAGGTGAAGTTCCTGATGACTGGAAGAAGGGAAATGTAACGCCCATTTTCAAGAAGGGGAAGGTGGAAGACCTGGGGAACTACAGAACAGTCAGTCTCACCTCTGTGCCTGGCAAAATCTTGGAGGAGATCCTCCTGGAAAGCATGCTGAGGCACATGAAAAACAGCGAGGTGGTTGGTGACAGCCAGCATGGCTTCACTAAGGGGAAATCCTGTCTAACCAGTTTGGTGGAGTTCTATGATGGGGCTATGGAACTGATGGAGAGCAGCAGAGCAGTTGATGTCATCTACCTGG